ATACAACGCCAGTGGTTTCATGTGTTTGTAACGTGCCTCTGATGATGGTTTCTTTTGAACCGAAACATGTAAGGCGAGTGAAATAAATAAGTGACCTAAAAACATTGTTACACTCGACGGATTATTCATTGACAATTTGTGATTGATAGTGTAACGGACCAAATATGAAACAATTCAAATTGGGAGAAAACGATTTAATGGGTAACCTCATTATTTCTATTCTTCAACTAACATATAGTATCATATTAATGAGGATGAGATTTGTGAAACATGTAATATTCGTCGGATATACAAGAAATGCAACGTGATATTGATGATAAGTCTTCAAGGGAAGATACAATCTGTAAGAATAGGTGTACAAGGAAGGATAATGTTAAAAGTTGATCTTAGAGAAAAAGTATGAAAGTGTGTGCTGTAGTCATTTGGTTTAAGATAGAATCTATTCTTTTGTGTATATGGTATCAAACTTTTGGTGTCTATAAAACAAGGATTAGCTTAATAAGGTGAATAACTCTGAGCTTTTTCAGGGATAACTGATTATCAAGGAATTTGTTTCTGCATTAATGACATCCAGTGACAGCAGAACTTTCACACACTATAGTACAGTCTTTGAGAAATATACGTGCATACTGATTTTTTACATGTATTTTGGAACCCTTATTTAATGTTCCTTAGTTTGGTGTTCAAATCCACTGTTCCACAAAGAAACGTTAAATGGGGCTTTCATTGTAAGTGATAGAAGCATTTGTTTTTCCTACCACAAGTGTCTGTATTAGCTTACTCAGTCTGTAACCCTTGACTGATAAGATTGAACTGCTATTTAAATTAGTATATGACACTTGGCAGATTGGTGGAACATTGTGGAGGAAACTGCTGCCTCCAGAACATTCATATCTACATATCAAAGTACAGGGTGTCACATTCTAGAAGGCTGCAGTCTTCATATTCGCTGGCATGGGGACTTAAATTCCTATATTCCATGTAAACGTCTGTCAGTGATTCTGTTAATTTGGTGGTAGTTTTGAGAGCACAAAATATTGTGGCCCCTATTTTCCCTCCATAGTCTCCAAACATTATTATGTAATTGTCACTGCAAATCTGTAGTACTGTACTGTGTAATTTAAACTTTTCAGGACATTCATGATGGGCTATGGGAAACCCCCAAATGAGAACTTCTCACTCCTCGTAATTTTTGTCATCAGCATCGGTCTAGGCCTGCCTGCATTGTTGATTATCATCAGTGGCTTAGTCATGGCTGTTCGAAGGATCTCTCGGAAGAATGATGATCTATTCCTAAACAGATAATTGTTTAGCATTATATTTAGTTGTAACATCTTGCCATTCTTTCTCCAGTGTGCTTCAGTATACTCACTGTTAAACATTCCAGGATTCGTTTACAGTACCTCAGGCTGAGTTTCATTTCAATATTTTAAGTAGCTAGCCATAAACTATGCAGCAGTAATTGATCCCATGATAGGAGGGATATAGAAAGAAACACATGCCTTTTGAAGTGAAGTAATTTGTGTACAAATTGTAACAAACATTTCTCTTCTTTATATAATCATGCAAAATTTTCATAAAGTGAAATAGTACAGTGAGTAGATATTTTAATCATAGCACAAGCCACTACATATTTATTTTAGTTTTTTTTTTATGTTAAGTCCATCTGAACGCACAGTTTATAATTGTATTACAGTGAACACATACTAGTCTTTACATTTGTCTGATATTTATATATGTGTCAAGTTTTGAGTGATTAAATTTTGCTCTTTCAAAAATGTTCATAGAGTGGTGGTTCTAATTTTTCTTTTTCCACCAGAAAGTTACATCTTCATGCAGTATGTGTGCTATGTAGACAGATAATTACTGAGTTACATTTTGTTTGTATGTATGGTGTTGTATGATTTTCATAAAAAAAAGAAATACAAACCAGGCTTGAAGTTGTATGGGTTAGCTGAATTAGGTGTTGCTCAGCAAAAGCACATTCACCTGCACATGGTAAATTTTAGATTGATCTTGGTAAGTGCAGTAGTCTTGAGGGTGATGATTCACTTTCCTGCAGACTCCCCAAATCACAGCAAGTGTTTACTATTTACCATATTCATATGCCATTTAAAAGGGTTGTGGATTAATGGCTTAGTAGGAAATCAGCCCTGATTTTGATTGGAATAATAAACTTGTGGAACTGTAAGAATGTAACTTCTGTTTTAACACATATAAGTGCAGGAGCATGCGTTGAATGTTGTAGTAATTTTAGAGACCAGTAGATATGTAATGTAATCTGATTTTGTGTCAGAAATTTGCTTATGGCCATGTTTTTTATGTGATAATACTAGTGGTAAATTTAGTCAAGTTCTGTGGAAATTGGCCATGAATTTATGCTGTGTAATTTATTGCTAGTAAATAGTTATTAATTGGATTGAAGTTCCAATAGTATTGATGTCTTCATTAATAAGGTAAACCTAATTTGGACAGATTTTGAGTTCTACAAGATTATGATAACAGTCTTTTGGTTGCAGGAATATTTTTGTTGTGAATTTTATGAAGTGGATTGTGAAGTTATAGTTACAGGTAAAGTTCTCTCTTTGCTAAGAATCTTTTTTGGTAATGAACCCAGTGTATTATTATAAGTGAAATGAGCATACCAGATGAATATGTCAATCCCCAATTTACATGGTTAATTTATTTCACAGCTGCCCATGTTAGTCGAAACTGTTTAAGTACAGCAGTGCTTAAATACAGCATTTTTTACATATACATTTCTTTCAATGGATAGTTGTAGCTAAAAGATATGTACAATAAACATCTACCATAACATACTGTATTATAATGTATTATGATACATAAACCCTGAACATGGAAGTTAAAGTACCTAAACTGCTTGAATAGTAATAAAAGAAAACCTGTGCTTGTGTGTCCATGTATCTGTGGATTTGTGTAACTTGTAAGATTTGAGGCTTTCACGGCACCAAATCCCAGAAGACTGCTTTCTTCTTGTGTAACTTGACTGAACCCATGTAAGTTGGAGCTTACTGTGAATGAAAAATATATAAATAATGCTGCAGAAGTTACTTACCAGTGTCTGAGCTGGTAATTTCATTAAGACTGAATGATGATGTGTTATAGAGTGTAACATTACAAATTGTTTTTCCTGTAAATCTGCAATCACTGCAATTTCAGCAGCTCTGGAGACAAAATATGTTGATGACATGTGTCCAACAAAAGGATCCTTGGATGAAAAGTGATAAGAAAGAGACAGTTCTAGATTTCTGTTCCTGATACTGTATAATACTCCTGCCATATAGCTGAACTAGAGCCAAAGATTTGAATTAAAATTAATCCTGTCAGAAAATTGTGTCATAATAGTGTTGTCTCACCTTTATTATGTGACTTGTAATGTTGTCCCTCTGGCTTCTTATGTAGCAAAACTGAAGAATAGTTAAACATATAAATGCAAAACCTACTTCTTGCATCAAGCTGTGTTTTTCCCGGGTCTGGTCAAGTGGGATTTGTGGTGGACAAAGTGGCGCTTGGGCAGGCTTTCTCTGAGTACTTCAGTTTCCCCTGCCAATCTTCATTCCACCAATTGCTCCACAATCACCCTCACCTATCATCTGGGGCTGGTACAATAGGCCAGAAGTGGCTGCAGTACAAGGGTCTTAGTCCTACCCCACTAGCAATAAAAAAAAGCTGTGTTTTCAGCTGGAGTTCTTGTCTAAAAGCTTAAAAAGTCAGAAATTGAATGGTTTGGGATTTTATTAAAAACAATATTATTAAAGTATTTAGTGTATAGTTAACAGGCATTTTCAGCATAAGAAATTATAACTGGCATGCTAACATTCATGCTTTTCAGGTACTTACAGAAAAGTGATACTTCAAGGTGCCTTATTTTAGATAAGGGATGGAGATGAGTGCAAAATGTAAGCAGAAAAAAAAACCTCAGTCATGAGTTTAATATTAATTGCATTTAGAGCATGCACATATAAACACATACACAAAACTGTACAAATATGCTCTACAAAGTATATAAATTTTTTATGATTAGTGGCTAAGAAAACGTTTTAAAGTGAATGTAGATAGTTCTTAATGGCAGTGAAATATATCCTTATGACACTAAGATTTGTTCAAGACACTCCTCTTCAGAGTCAAGTTATACAGTAATTGTGCTAGTACAGTGGTTTAGAAATATAGAGAGTATTGTTTGTGGTAACTGAAGTAACTCCTAGAGACTCCTACTTGCATATCAGTTGATATGAAAATAGCAATCAATCAATATTTAAGTTTCACAGTTCACTGTTCCTACATGCACTAAAAGAAAATTAATTATACATATGTAACTTGTTTTATACATGGTTTATAGTCATATTTTAATATTGTGATAGAATACAACATTACAAGAAGGAAAAAGAGCTGCTGATTTCAGTGCAATCCAAACTCAGTCAAGATCTTCCTTTGTTTTTTTACTAATTCATGCCTCTTACCAAAACAGTTGTAGCATTTGTTTTCATCGATAATCTCTGCATGTACCTGGTATACCGCTGTTGAATACTGAGTATGTGAATTAAGCAATGTACACATAACAACTTTTGTTCAGTTATCTTGAAAATTGTAATTCATATGGAGAAACTATATTTGACTCAAAGTGTGTGTTTCATTTTTCTCTGCAACGTTTGTTTGCAACATTTTTCCTTCTGATTAAAATTTAACAAGTTGGCTCGAGATATGCATAGAAATTAAGGTAGGCCTCCATGTCATATGTTCATTGTTTATGTTTGAATTTAACCAAAATTTCAGTCTCAACAGACTTTAGTTGAACTCGCCAGTATCAAATTTCATGAAACTCCATTGAGTGATTCTTCAGTTGTTTCAAGACTACAGATGGACAGGTGAAGCAGGTTTAATAGCTATAATATAAGGTTGCAAATGTGCCTAGAAACAGATTTTGAGTTTAAGGTATTCATTTTCGTTATTTACTGTTTAAGTGATAGGTGTTCGATACTTCTTTTCAGAATTGGAAACACATGCCATGCTAGTTTGAAGTTATCAAATGTTTGATTAGGATTTACTGTGAAGCTGCATGGAAGTTATCACATGCCAGCATCAGTTATTATCCTGACTGAGGCTTTCTGTGGTTTTGTTCAGACCTTTCAGGCAAATGCTGGGATAGTGTCTGTAACTATGCCATGACTGCTACCTTCCACAGTGTTTACAATTCATTATTCATTAATCAAGCCTCCCATCAGATGCTATATAGTCAAAACTATTGACAATGCCCATCTGAGGAAGGGAACATAAGATTTTCCCTTCAGCACACAAAATTACGGCTCCCTCCATATTTTCAGAACATTCAAGTCAGTTGAGAAATGAAACTACACCAGTATGTTACTCCAAATAATAATACTTTTTTATTTTGTGATATGATATATCTGGATGTTCCTTTAAATAAAAACAAAGTTTATGACAAAACTGTAAACATTTGTCATTGCTTTTTGTACACTCTTAAGTGGTTAGAAACTTAAGAACATTCTTACATGTTGTTTCTGTTTTTAATGTGTACTAAATATATGGAAGTTGAACAAAATATCAGATCTGAGCTTTTTTGAAAACAATATTTGAGCAAAGAGAATGATCAAGCTGTTTGGACAGTGTAATATTTCTTTCCTTTAACAGCCCCCCCATCATTGGGGGTACCAGGTGTTGAATCTGTAAGATGAAAATTTGGAAATTCACTTTGTACCATAAAAGGACAGTGGTAATTAGTATAATGACATAGTCTGAACGGTTGGAATTTGATTCCTGGCAGGGGCAGAGATTCTTCACTTTCCCATCAAATCCAGACTAGCTCTGAGGCCCACCCAGTCTCTTGTCTGATTGATACTGGGTGTTCCTTCTTGAGGATAAAATGGACAGAGTTGAAGCTGACTGTTCATGTGTTGACATTGTTAATATTGTGTATATCTCAACCTTCACCTTCCTCTGGGTCGTCATGGAGTGATACTAATGAAGTACTGGGAAAACTTTACTTTTTACTCTGTGCCATAATGATGGAAGATAAGAACTGTCTGATGAGCACCTTTTAACTAAAGCTGTAAGCAGTAATTTAAAAAAAAAAGCACTTGTCCCTCAAATTTGCATGGAAAACATTATTGTTAATTCCTTATTAGATGTGCTGCATAAAAGTGCAAATGTTGAAAGAAGAAAAAAAAAATTCAAATATCCTACTATAACAGGCCAGTAAAAAGGTCTTAGGACTGCGTAGAAAAGTAAAAATAAGTAAGACTGCTTGTGAAATACAAATTATGTACGGAGTAGTTCTTTGGCATGTTAGTGTGTCCATGAATGTGTCATTATTGATGTACAGTGGATTAATTACAATGTGGATGGAAACGTGTACTTTGTGAGAGGTTCATTTATATGAAATTTTTGAACAACTTAATATTTTTACATTTTTATTCCACAGATTTGAGTAAATTGGTTAGAAAGATTTTTCTACATATTATTTGTCAATTTGGTATAATACAGTTTTGAAAATATTCAACTAGCAAAAGAATATATAACCTATTTAAATGAGGTTGTGAGCCCTGTTTCTGTCTGTTAAAATTCTTACCTCTAATTGTGTTTGTGAGCGTGCAGTTGTGGACCTCAGAGTTTGGTTTTAAGGGTCTTTTTCATGTTGAAATAGTAAATAATATTTAACTATTAAAAATTGAGTAGACTTGAAAAAGTGATGTATTTATTTCATAACAGTAAAGGTAAAGTTATCCCTATGCTTTAGCTAATTAAGCACTATGCCTTGAAGGCTTATGGGGGAGTGGATGTATAGATCCGCATTTTCTTGACCTCTGCACTAGTTGGAGGTGGGTGATAGCTTCTAACCCCTGCTGCTTTACCCCGAGCAAAGAGCCTCTGGTTCCAATCAGATAGGAGGTTGAGCAGTTGAGTGGACCTCAGAGCCAGTCTAGACTACTTGGAGAAGAAAAAATCTTCACCCTACCTGGACTCGAACTCCGACCCCTTGGTCGTCCAGCCTATAGCCAGTCACTATCCCGGCTCCTTATTTCCTAACAGTCTGTTACATATCATACTTATTAAAATATTAGACTTATTTAGGTTTGTAATGATAAGCCATGGCTACAAAATAACTAATCTTCATTCCTTTATTGTCTTAAAGCAAGATTGTGACCTAATTGATCTTTTATGTGCATGGGAATTCTCTTCATTCAAAGTCAGTGTGTCTTTAAACTGTTACATTAGACATTTCACATATTTATTCTGTAGGATGTTAATTGATAAATAAAGTAATTGTGCAGATACATGCTATGTCTTGCTGTGTGTTGTTCACAGGTGCCACCATTGGATGCTTTAACATCCCATCAGCTGGAGAAATGTGGGAAAATGGAAAAGAGAGTAAAGGTTGAATGTAATAACAAGGAAGATTATCTTATAATATTTGTATATTTGTGAAAAATGGTGAACCTGATCACCCACAATCTAATACTGAGGTTAAGAATGCTTGGTGCTCTACCATCTATCCCCCTGTACATTTTCATTATGTGCAGTTAATATAAGCACTGAGATTATTCAGGAATTTGGGATGCAGTTTTAAATCCGCTGATACTATGGAGCTGATGGCCAGATTTGAATTCTGGTTTTGGCAGTGATATTAAAAAACTGGAACATTTGGCCAGCAGGACTGCAGGCATGCACTATTCCAGTAGTGTAACGCATGGCCAATGAAGGTTATGTGCAGCAAAAGGTGGCCATTACCTTAACATGCTGGAAGGGTATTTTCAAATAGGCTTGAAAAATGGTATGGTCACATTATAATGAAACATAAAAATAGTATACATTATTTGTGCCATTGCCTGTATATAATAGTTTTAGCACTGAAGACAAATCAAACGTTTGTGGTTTGAATAGGAGAAGGGGAAGTGGTTTTGAGTTATTAATGATTAAAATCTGCTTGCCTTAACTTCAAGGCACATGGAGTACGTTGGCAACTGTGTGGTTGCTGTGCTAGAAATTTTACAAAGAATATTTATCTGCAGAAATCTGGATAATAATTGTAATTCACAGGCGCCTTATGAAAATTTGTTGTGTGTTCAGCTGTAAATATGCAGTATTTGCAGTTTATAATTGAGAACAGATTTTGGTTGAATTTTATGTCAGACATCCATTATGTAGTTTCAGTTCTATAGCCAGTTTTTCATATAGTTTTCTAAAAGTGTATCTCACGAAACATTCACTAGATTGAAAACGTTTCATTTGAATTTGTAGATCATTACAAAATAAATATTTTATGTAAAGTAAGATAAGTTCCACAGATATGATGGGCCATTGTTATTGGAACAAACATTAAAACTTTGAACCTTCTGGATCCATTTATTGTCCCTCACATGAAATGCATGTTCTGTGCAGAGTGGTAGAATCAGCGCATCTTGAATGTAACTCTATATTTATTGGAATAAAAAAAGGGTTTCCAACAAATATAGCAGAGATGAAATGCATGGTTCATGGCCAATACTATTTTCATCTCAGTCATTATTTTTTAAATAGCCACACAGACGGGGGGGGGNGGGGGGGGGGTGAATATGCCACAATTGTGATAATCTGTGTCATTCCTGTTTTGTTTTTTTAGAATAATATGTTTTGTGTTTGTATCATAGAATTGATTTTTGTAATATTAGGTGGTTTACATTCTTCACAAATTACTGTCTGAAGTGACATGCCATTTTACCTAGAGCTGTCACTGAATTCCTCACTAATCATTCATCTTGAAAGGATGTTTGGATTGGAAAACTTATTAATTGAACTAGAAGTTGAAGGAATGCAACTTTTTATGTTATAAGTATTACTATATTTATTTAATTAGAGAGGTGGCCATCATTCCCAGAAATGTGCTCTCATGAACAAAACATTTTCTGAACTTCAGAATATTTTACAAACTATTTATTCTGTAATGGTATTGGCCTAAAAGTGTGGTTAGGTTTGACTCGGTTATGCATTACTGTTCACGGAATGGGTTAACAGTGTAGGAAGTGTAGTGCGCAGTCCAAGAACCGTAGCAGATTACCCTCTGCCATCTGGGAGCTCCAAGTATCTGTAAATGAATATACAATGTAATAATCATAAATCCATATGCTAATCGCTACATCAAATTCACATTCTAAATAAAACAAAACGGCAGCAAAGGAAAGGTGACATAAGTGTTGTTTAAAACATTTTGAGTCAAAATTTCCGGCATTTGTCTTCACAGTGGTGACACATTCAGCCCTCAGTTTTGCGTGTAACAGCACCAACAAGTAATAAAACTTTTTTTTTCCCCCAGTGTTTTGCATTGGCAGTGGGAGGGGGGGTAAAAGTGAAGTTTTCCCCGCACGTATTCAATCAAGCACCACCTCATGAAGAAGTATGTGGAAGTGGAGGTATAGTTCCACCATTCTTGACCTCAGCACGAGATCGGGTAAGATCAGTAGCTAGTGCCTGCAAGCTAAATAGACCGAGTCATTATACCACATACTGAAGCGCCCTTTTGTCGGACTCGTCATACCTATGACAAGTGTAACATTGTATTGTTTAAATTATTGCTAGTGAAATGCGTGTAGACTTCTTCGGGAATATTCGCGAGATATCGTACCGAATTGATCGGCGTTTTTAGTTTCCTATTTGTGCACTGCATGACGTAGAGCGCTGCGGCAAACAGTTGTGATGCAGGTTGCAGCAGAGACAGCGAATTGAACTGTAGAACGGGAAGGTGCGATTGTTAAATTTGTGTTATTTTATTAAATAGTTCTTTGTTACTGTTATTTTTTTGTAATCAGTTTGTTATACGTAATGTGGTTGGCTGGAGACGATGACAACATGATCATACGCGAGTGACGTTTCGATCCTGCACTCCCTTCGATTTGTGTTGGTGAGTTACATTTCGATTTCTGCTGACCTTTGCGTCCTGCTGGAAATCCTATTCGCCTCATATTTTAGTGCCTTTGATCTCGTATAAATGTGCCTAATGATAGTTGTTCGAACGGCATTGTGCCTTCTACGTTATGCTTTTGCTTGATTATTGCTCAGGTTGCTTTCAGCTGCATTAACGCACACAGTTAATATGCAGTTTATAATTCAAGAAGTACCGCTACTACTACAGTATATTTATATGTGTAGAATATTTTGTTCGCTGTTCATTTGTACTTTGATGGAGGATTGTATATTACGGCGTTTGCTGGTTATAAGCAAGCGGTGGTGTGGGTTTTTGTACTTTCCATGTTAAACAGTAACCTATGTGCGAGGTCTGAAAATTAAATAATAAGACTGCTCACAATTAATACTGCATTAAATTTTATTCTGAACTGCAGTGGTCTCGTCAGAGTAGATCCCTTCTTAAGCCGTGCATATTTGTGCATTCCAGCTCAGTTTCCAACAGTTTAGACATTTGCAAAAGTCTTTCTCCTGTAGGTTGTTTAGAACGGCCGTCGTAACCTGACTCATCCACGGTTTCAAAATGTATTCCTTGATAAGATGCTTCATCGTAGGGAAGAGCAAGAAGCGCGGAACAAGATCTGATGGGTGGATTCCAGGACCACGATCGATTTTTTCATCAAAATCTCCGTGACTGAAAGCGCTATGTGTGAGGGTACGTAGTCATGATCCAGGATCAACTTGTCGGAGAAAAGTCTTGGATCACACGATGAATCCGCTGTGCCCTAATGTTCCAAAACTTGGAGCTAATACTTCTGGTTGACAATCCAACCAATTGGGACAAACTTTATTTACCGTTAAAGAAACAGATCAACACTGTCTTGACTGTCGATTTCTGACACCCTCTCTTTATCGGGGAGAGCCGAGTCTGGAGATTTCCACTTCATGATCTGCCGCGTTGTCTGTGGGTTATACTCAAAATCCCTCCCTCAACTTCATCCACAGTAGTGACTCTGTTCAGCCTTTCGTCATTCTCCTCGATCTATTGCAAAAGATCCGCTCAAATTTTCTCTTCCGCTGTAATTGGTCGTTAGTGAGGGTCTTGGGCAACACCATCACACGAATTATTTTATTCCAAAACATTCCGTCAAAATCAGTCGTTATAGTCTCGTTCTTGATATTCAGTTCTGCAGCCATCCCCACAGTAAGATACCGGTAATTCCTCGTCAGAGTTCTTATTTTTTCCACGTTTTCATCCGATGATGGCGGACGTCCATGCTAACTGCCAAGCTCATCTTCGTCCCCTTCTTTCGGAGATTCATTTACACAACTCAGAAAACGTGCTTTTGACATAACCTTTTCTTCGTGCACTTGCTTTAACATGACAAAGGTTTCGTTTTCTCTCTCTCTCTCTCTGTTTTCACAGTTTGAACAGAAATTTCATGTTGAGCATTTGATCAAAGTACTCGTATATCACCCATTTTCATGACGAGCTATCCATACACTACTTAAGTTAAAGCGCAACAGATCCGCACTCGCTAGACTTGTCAAGATGAATGTAATACTGTGTAGAATTCACACATGCAGCTATACATGGCAGCACGCGCCTTCAGCCACAGAGCCACTCACGCTTCACGTTGCTGCCAGTCTCGTTATCTAATTGTCAGACCTCGCAACAGCAAAACATCATCCCGTCTAGACCACGCTATTTCTCCCTGATGTTTCATTTCAGACAAAAAAGAAGTTCGTTTTAGAGAGACTAGAATAGAGTTATTTTCTGTTTAGAAACTTAGAACAGGAGTGTCAAAGAAATCCCGTTTCCCAAAAGTTGCAATGTGGAAACAACTACTTATCTCTTGGTGAGCTTCATTTGAAAACAGTAACTGATTTTATTTCTGCTCCAGTAAAGATGCAAAGGGTGCCCAAACACTAATACGATCACACTTCAAAATATTTTAAATGTATGTCTTATAGAAAACTTTCATTCTATAAGGAAACCGAGAAGCCGTTTTGTGCAATTCTTGAAGAAACTTCTGTGAAGACTCAGGTGTAAAAAGACCAGAGTTTATATTCGATTATGACGCAAATTAATATAAATCTTTATTCGTTTTAAGAGAAATTGGTAGTGTATTCTTCGAGTATTTATAAATATTGTAGCCTTTGCTACGATTTCTTGTTTGTGAAATTAAAAAAACAAAGCGTTTTAGTGCGGGAATTCATTTGTGTTTTGAAGGCCACTAGGAATAAACTTTGTGAATCCAAGATTCTAGAAGCTTTAATCGTAAGTATTCATCAGTTATATCGGAGTAGAAGGGAACGAATAAGTTGTAAAAGTGTTCCTTATTCTGATGATGGGGGATCGTGATTTGTTCACTAAGTAAAATTGTTCGAAAGGTTGCTGTAGAACTGAAAACACAAAAAGAAACCTTAAGTTCATATAGAAAAAGATAGTTGTTAAAGTGAACTCATTATACTGTATTTAAATTTTAATCTTTTTGACTACAAGAAGTATTATTATGAGCATGAAAAAAATAGTTAAGTAAAAGCTTACAAAATGTTTATGGAAAAAAACGTTACTTCAAATTACAGTTTTCATGGTTATAAAAATGTAAAGAAATAATTAGGTGCTTAAAAATTTTTATATTTAAATAAAAGTAATTATCTTTATGCCTCATTCATCGTCACAATTTGGGCATGAAACCTGCCCGTAGAAATTAAAATGTATGTCAACACATCCTTGCGTTAGACTCATGACGTTCATGACACACATTTCAGTCTCGTATTAGCAACCCTGACCCTGTATATCGCACAAAAGGAGCTGTCCCCTTTCCTTCATCGGTGATCCTAGGCACTCTGTCAGGATCTTGAAGCGAATTCACCTCTTTTCTTACGTAACGGTCGAACATCCACATTTGCTCTGGATTTTTTATCTTTTATACAGTGTCATAACTTCACTCACTTTGACTATTTTTTCCTTTGCAAAGCACCATTGGTAGAATCCCTTGACCCAGTGTGTATTCGCAAACAGAAATATTGACACTTGGAGCGTGCTTTCATGCATTTTTGTAGATGTTTTCGGGTTTTATAAAAACCCATTCTTCCTTGGTAGGTTACAGTTTGTTGAAGTTATCTTTTACTGTAACAGGATTTAGTTTAATTACTTCTCCTTGGTTTATTATCTGAGTTTTTCTTTTTTGGCGTGTCTAGTTGCCCTCTGGCCGATCACAGTAGCCGCGCGGTCTGAGGCATGAACTGTCTTCTCCCTCATAAACACTGTATTCGTGGGGTCGAATCCCACCCGAGGCGTGGATGTCCGTGTACGTTTATTCTGTGTGTAGGTAGCTGTTTTGCGACTGGCTGATCCCCAGTCCAAGAGGTCCTATCGACTGTTTATAGGATTAAGAAACTGAAAAAGCGATCAGTGTCCGAAAAAGCTGTAGAGCCATAGAGAAAGGAAGAAAGAAATTATCATTAAGGGTTAGACGATAGCGGTATTCTTATAGTAGAGACTCAAGTTACCCTATCCTGAGCCAGACGAATCCAATCCAACCCTCATACTCTGTTTAAGACCTATTTTAATACTCGTCGTATCTATTTCTAACTTTCCTAAATGTCTTTTTTTTTCTGGGAAAAGTTCTCTGTACATTTCTCATCTTCAGCGAGGGTGCTGCTTGTTCCGCTCATGTCCAGTTTCTTCCACGCATTTCTGTTTCGTCACACTGATTCAGATGCTATGCTTTCTATGTGGTTGAAAATATGTAATTAAATAGACAAAAAATTAGCCAGTCATGACCTTAACAGATTTTGAACTCTGTTCCCCTTGTTGGGGACATGTGTGTTCGTCACAGTACCGAATGCCTGCCCACTCACTAAACACTCAGATGTCAGACACCCAGGCTGTTCTAGAAACTACCACTGGACCACACGGCAGTTGCTAGATTGAATATTTTGCTCTGAAAATCGAATCGAACTGAACTGCCTTTGTAGAGCCCTTGAGCCTGGCGAACATTTTCCGATACCGTCTGTGGGCCCGTCTCTCTAGACATGATGTTCAGATTTCTGTCCAGTAGGGTTCGATTTGTTGGGGTAGTGGGAGGGTAGATCTTCACTTCACTGTTCCTTCTCATCCCTGGTTTGGTGGTATGATTTTATGTCCATATTGGGGATACTGCAGTATCGACCAATCTGTTTATTCTGAAAATGAAGAAAGCAGTCTTCCGGGATGTGGCACCGTGTAGATTTGGTGTTAACCGACGTTTCGGAGGAACGTATCGCCTCCATCTTCAGGGTAGAAGGGAAAATAAGAAATCCGCAAGCGAAGAGACCGTGAGAACCGGCACAAGCAGACTGGAGGCGATACGTTCCTCCGAAACGTCGGTTAATATCACATCTACACGGTGCCACATCCCAGAAGACTGCTTTCTTCATAGTCACCTCCGTGAAAACCTCAGATCTTATATACTGAAAATGTTTGCCCAGAATCCGATAGCTGGATCAGATTTAACCGATCTGATGGTTAAACTCACAGTTTGCTGTGTTTTAAACGTGCTTATATTGTGAGCGCTTGGAATTGCATAATTCGTATCTCTCCGAACATAGAATACTGCTGGGTTATTTAGTTTATAGCTCGTAGACGGATCGAATTCCGAAATGTCTTTCCCGATAGAAGTTTCGTTGTTTCACCGATTTCTTATAATTTGTCGAGAGAAAGCATAGTTGTTTCATCATCATCATCATCATCATCATCATCATCGTCGCCGAAAACAGCCCTCTTTGAGAAATATCTTTCCTTAGAAGATTCTGCCAGATTTGGTTTTCACTTCTTTGGATTTTGCAACATTATTTTTTTACAGAGCAAGGTCATCAGCCTTGCTTCCAACCCCCATCCTGGAGGAGCAGGTCTCTGTACTTATGTCCCCCGGTGACAGTGTGGCCCAGTTATACCCCCAGAAAACGGGTTCCCTTTTCGTCGCCTTCTGCGACTCGCTGGACTACGGT